CTGCTGAAACTCAGTTGTTGCCGCTATGCGAGGAACTTTTAATCAATCGTTCGACGTTGCTGCCTCCGCAACCAGAAGGGATACGTCGCCAGCGAATCTTAATGACTGACATCGAAGTGGATCATCATTGCAGAATACGATGTATCAAACACTTTTTCGTCTCTCGACGGGCTGATTCGTTCTCTCTGATGAGGCGGTGACCGACGCCTCCGTTACCCTGCACGCATCGGTACCTGGAAGTCATACCAGGCATCGTCTGGCTTCATGTTGAAAGAACGCATTTAGTCACTGCATGCACATCCATTGTGGGTTAGTCATTGCAGTGGACGAAGCACCATCAAATGAGCTGCCAATCATGTGGAACGTCTAACGTTTGGTCTGAACTCAAGAATTTCTGGGTTCGTTCTTCAGTTCTGATTCACTTTCGACTCCTGAAACAATTAAGAATGAATAAAAATCAACAAGAAATAACACCCACGAATAAGTACTCTGGATCGAAACATTTCTATCCTGTGCGATAGACGTTCACCATTTTTATTGTGTTTGGATCTTGTTTGGGGCAAATGCAGATTTATTTTCATGACACCGAGTACAACCTTCAGTCTTGAGCGTCATAATATAAGAAAGTGACTGACGTTTAATAAAATGATAACTTATTTGCCTTTTTGGCAGTTGTCTGATGAATGAGAGGTCTTGAAATAACTAAAAATTACATTTTTTCGAGATTCTATGCATAAAATGACCGTTCATTCGTTTTTGCAAAAGTGGTACAATCGAAGACTTCAAAAATCGTTAACTTGCAGTAAATTTTTCAATCATCCCTGCTGTAACCTCAGAACATTCCGAGTTACACTACAACCAATTTGCTTCGCTAAGATGTTTGGTAGCATTTGTTAAATGTCATTGTCAGTTATCTGATAATTGAAAGGTTCCTCGTTCTGTACCGTACATGCAAAAATTATTGTATTGTTTTCTGTTCTGGTACCCGTATTTATGTGGCGATTTTTTTAAGGCATCTTAACGGTTAATTCTGACGAAAGTAGAGCACTAAAATGAGATGAGTGGTGTTGCATCGCAGAAAAAATGCAAAGATTTTTACCTCATATGTTCATTTTTGATTAGTAAAGTAACCATTAAATGGGCCTCTTAGGGTTTGATGTTGTGTCGTCTTTGCAAACGATTCGTTTCAAATTACAATGCTTTAAAATCAGTAGAAGAGGAATCGCTGAAAACGCGAAGCTGGTGTTCATGATGACTACCTCTTACCATGTTTCTTGTGTATTATCCTTATCATATGATTGCATTTTAGGACTATATGGACGATGTTCATGGAAAAGAAATTAGTTTGGGTCGAACAACGGTGAAGGTCCCAAGAAAGAAGCCGAATAACCGTTTCATGGTCAAATCTGTTATGAACAATGGTGTAATTAAAGAAAATGGTGAGTTTATGACGTAAAATTGGCCGATGCTGTCAGTAGTGGATGAAAAATTCGTCAGAAAAAAATAACGCTTTCTGGAAGTTTATAGTGGTGTAGGGGAAAATGAATACAAGTGAGAATAAGATCTATGTGAATGCGACTAAAATATGACTGCAAATAAGATCTTGTTTATGGAAAAGATGGCACGAGACATTACAAGTTGATTTATCATGAATGATTTCAACGTCAAAGTTAGATCGCAGCAAAAAAAGACGAATGCCATGTGCGCTAATCTGAAAATGTCTAAAGGAAAGTCCGCACTGGGCGACTAGTTGAATTTGCTGAAAGGAACATATTATTTATTATGAACGCTTTTTCAGAAAGAAAGTGCAAAAGATGTTTATGGGAAGTTCCAAGCGACATCCAATAAAGTTAAGTCTATTTCGTCTTTAGCAACGTCAAGAACACGGTGCGCATTATGTCATGGTGCTTTTGTATGAAGTATCCACAGGTTCGTCACAGGCGTCGTAGTGCGCCTGGACTCTGCTTTAGAAGGAAGGACATTGGTAATGAGATGTAGCGCAAGTTACTCAAAATGGAAATATTGAAGCAGAACCTCCAGCAATTCCAGCTTTAATTAATTGTCCTTTTCGGTGTCCTTCGCGAACGATAAAAATAAGAAACAGGAGAAGCAGTGAGCAAAAACGCAGGTGGGTCAGGATATAAAAAAGGCAGCTAAAGAAACGGCGGCAAACGTCTACAAAACAAGGTCAGTAAAGGTCAGCTGTAAAATCACGGAGCAAGCGAAAGAACTAATTAATATGAAAGAAAACTGCAGGCAGCAGAGCAGTTCAGATATCGAGTCGTAAAGATCGAATATGTATAACTTTGCACAACTTTAGAAAAGCATATGAAAGTAAGCCACGAACATTCAACTACATATTAGTTAAGGAAACTGTTGAACATAGTGGATGTATGAAGAAACTGAGTAAAAGATTGTCGGGAAAAGGTAAATTTTAGCTTTGAAAAATGGAATTTTCATCAGGGACATTCAAGTGATTCGAAAGAGAGTGGAAAAGTTTTATAGAAAAACAAAGATGAAAGCAGCAACGCTCGAATGGACGATGCGAAACATGAAGACATGCCTGAAGTTGACGAAATTCCAGATATTTTGTCAGAAGAGGTACGTCGTGCAATAAAACAGTCGAAACAAGGAAGAACACCCTGAGCGAAGATTGTCTTACTACATACATACTTATGGAATAGCACTGACCAAGATAACAGCTCGCTTTTATTGCGGAAAAGAAATTCCAGACTGTGGAACCATTCAATCGGTTATTATACTCCACCAAAAGGGATTGAGAGATTTGAAGAACTGCAGGCTGATCGGTTTGTTTCAAATCATGTACAAGATCCACATGAAAGTACAGACAATCAGAATACAAGATAAATTGGACGCTGCGCAGCCAGAGGAGCAGGCAGGATTCAGTGATGGATTTAGTATGGTGGAGCATCCTCACTTGTTGCGACAAGTAATTCAAACATGAAACGAATATCAACGTCTCTGCATGTTCTGTATCGATGTCGAAAAAACTTTGGTTTCAGTATGCATCGATTTTGTACTGAATTTCTTCATGGGTCACGGAATTAAACGAAACATACAATGCAGCCTGGAAAAATATCTACTAGGAATAACGAGAAAAGATAAGAATACGGATGAATGATTAAGAACACGAAAAGAGTGAGTGATGGGTTGAGAAGTAAAAGTGACGGTCGATCGGATGCGATGCGAAAGAACTGACAATCGCTGCATCAAAGAGACATTAGAGTGAGTTCCAAGACGAAGAGAGTAAACAGCCGGTTGGAAGATTTACAGATCGATGGCTGGATGTGTTAAAGAAGTTCGCTGCATCAATATAGATGATGTATGACACAAAACTAAAATCTATGGTGAAATCTTGGAAAGACTTTCATTCACCAGTGACACGACAAAGGCTTGATGGCCTTAATTATAAAAGATCAGGAAGCCTTCGACCACAGAAAGTCATAGCCGGGTGGCTTTGAGAAAAGTAGATTAGATGGAGTTAATTTAAAGTTTTAAATTCGTTTGTTTGAAATTCTGCAGCAGAGAACATGGCAATGGCAGGACCAAAGTCGTTGAAGATGTTCGTGGCTAAGAGGTACTTTTGATCTCTCTATATGCAAATTGGTCTCTTTGAAGACAAGTCGTTTATCGTCACTTCATCGAACAAGTGGTTCAGTAGACACAGACGAAATAAGAAAAAATTAGGAACGAAGAGGTGTAGCAGTTAAACGTCAGATTGAATGACATTTTGCTGAACAACTGCCATTTGAATTGGGAATCCGTCATCAACACTGCATATTTGATGTACCAACGCATCGAATTATCTGACACAGCACTGGTATTCAAAAATAAATCACAGAGAGTAGTGAAGTTACTAAAGACATGAAGCGCATTGGACAGTTATTGAACAGTTTTGAAATACCATAAGGCTGTAACAGTTTGAGCACATGTAATTGTTGCACTAATTCTATATATCTTTACTTTTATGACCTTAAATGTTTTTATCAGTTCGTTTTTCAGTTTTATGAATTGTTTCTACTTCTAACATTAAAGTAAACATTAGTGTCATTAAAGTAGCACAAATTTGTTACGGAATGACACTGCAATTACCCTTTAATTATAGCTTTTTCTACAGCAGACTTTATCCCAACTTTTGGTAACGCCTCCTAGCGGTTATGCCTTATCATCGGTCCATAGGAGTATGTCCTTTCGTCTTTCGCTTAGGCTTAGATTTCGACTTAAGAATCGATTTTAGTTGAGCTTGCGCCCAAGTATAGATCAGAAATGTAGCTTGGGTCCAGTTTTTTGCCGTCTATATATAGCCTTCCTTTTTTCCTGCCCTATTCCTAGGTCTACCCCGTGCTCGTGATTTGTTCCGCGTATGCGTTTCCACTGGGTCTTAGTTACCTGCTGGTTCTGAGCCAAAATTGAGTCTGTAGTTATCCTTCAACTAAGAACTTATACAGACATACTTTTTCTTTGATTCTGTTCACTCCTCTGTTCGTAAAATATGTTAGCTTTGTCTCGTTTTAATCCCTGGAGCAAGATCACGTTATCTCAGATGTCGGTAAATTTGTATATGATTAAACTACTGTGTTGTTATCTCCTTACGGATGTCATCTTTGGATTGTATCCCTGTATAAGGGATTTGGCGTCTGCTTTGTGATATTAAAAACCGCTCGAGTGAACACATTGGCTTAGGTCTTTTCTACCGTTTGGACTAAGCCATCTTTAGCGGATAACGAGGTTTGAAAATTGAAGCTGAGGTAGCTGTGGATCAGTTTCTTGTATTCAGTGGATCGTTATTCTCCAGCTTTATAAAAATAAATTCAGAAGCGATGCGGATCACCCTGTGTTACAGGTGATCATCCTAGGTATCTTCACGAATAAAATTCAGACCTTTCTTGAACTCAATGATATGATAATCTTTATGCGGCCATATTACTCGTGTAGTTTACAAGATCCGTACTATGTGGGCTGTACGATATCTCTTATTGATACGTGGAACAGTCGAAAGATTGCTTTGGAATCAATGGGCTTACTACCAGAGGGCTTACGTAAACAGACTGTAGACGACACCGGGGTAATATGACATCATGGACACAAGCAGCTCCATGACTTCAGAACATATATGAAGTCCATCGACCAGGACATTCAAGTTACCGGTAACATGAAAAAGATGTCAGGCTTTATTTTTTCAGTGTATTCGTATAGAAGGAAACTAATACATCACCTGCACTAAACACTACGCCAGTTTCGATTCCAACGCTCCGGTATTTGTAAGGGCAGGACAGATAAAAAATTATACTGTTGAAACATTGGTTTATTTGAAACAATTCTAAATGTGTTTAACACTTACTAACACTTACAGAGAGGCAAATTTCAGTTTGAAGACTATTTGCTGCTATTTTTGTCAGTCGTAAAAATATAAATCCTGAGCAAAACGTGATCTGGAAGTAGAATATGCTGTAACCCAGAATCGGATGTCCATAAAGTTGAATTCTTATGTCTCTGTTCTGTCGCCTAGCAGGCGATCTGGTTTTATAGCGAAATCTTGATACCGATTTTCTATGCAACTACGGCAGCATTATATTGGAGTTATACTAAAATTCACGATCGAGGTTGTTGACCAATACTTTTGTAGCAGCGCTGCAGACCGGCGAAAACGATGCCGTTCAGCCATCACCGTCGTTTCAGGAATCTAAGACGAGTTCTGTCGCAGCAGCAGTTTCCAGTGACACCGTGTCAGGTAGCGTCTTGACAGCGTAAATGTGTTTCTCCTGTAGGCGACTATTATTTCAGGGCTGAACATGGGCGATGACAGTAGCAGCGGCACCGCGGAACTGCCGGCGATCAAAAAGAAAGACAAAGGCCAGAAGCACGTTAGAAAATCGGCCGTTCTCCGAAGCATAGACGCCGATGGTACTGCAAATGATGGTATAAATAGTCGTTCTAAAACCACCTGTTTCAGATTCGGACGAAAACGAATTTGTCATTGTGTCGCTGGACAACCGCCAGTGGCATTTCGAGGCTCCCAACGTAGAGGTACGTATATCGTTTTGTTCATTGTCTTGTAAACGCGCAGTAAAAATGCACGTCCGTTTCCCTTACTATTTTTTTCCTCGAAATCACGCTACTTACTTGAAATGCTTGACTGATAGTAACAACGTCATTTTGAAGTTCTGACACTGGAATAGTGTCTCGAACTATAGTTATTTGAAGACTTAACACGACATTAAAGACAAATTTTGGTAAATTAAAAAATGTGTAGCCTATTACATTACAACAGGAACAGCGAAGTCCTGGAAGCCTAAGGATGCAACTGGATCACGTTTTCATCAACCGCAAGTGACACAGCTCGTCACTCGACACATGCGTCAGGCGCCGCGCCTGCATTGGGTCTGATCGCTATGTGACCGCCGGCAAATGTCGTTGAAGCACATCACCTGCTCGTTGTTGACAGACTAAAATATTACGAAGCGACGAGGTCGGCCTGCCAAAAGGAGGTGGTGATTTATTTTAATGCCATACTTAGTGCTCAGTCGGCAAGTGGGGACGTCGATAAAGCTTTGAAGACCTCAAAGACGTCGTCATTTTCTCCCTGAAAAACCATTGGGGTGAGAAAGAGCACGGCCGAATTGCCCTGGGTTATGGAAAAGACCCTAGCTCTTAGAGTGCACAGGGACCAGGGAAAGAAAAATCACCTGCAAAGCCCTACTTCGAGGGCAGCTCAACGTCGTCTCTTTCGTTTAGCCAGCAGAGCTACGGGCGCGACAGAACTTCGGCTGTAAGGGAAAGCACGAAGATCGACAAGGCAGCCAGAAATGGCGAGTGGCGAGCAATGTTCAGGGGTATG